TGCGTACTTGTATGTTTGGTGTCCGGTAATCATGCTGTTATGCTTTTATACTGTACTTTTTTTTTCTGTATAGCTAAAAAGCATACATATAATAATCTTTACGTCCTTTTCATGACGTAATTTTTTGTTATTTGAAGCCCCACTCTGGCTTTTGCCAGGGGCCGCAATATAGGCAGGCCATTAATATGGCCAATTGTCTGAACGCGGTTTCTGGGACCTCTCCACGGTGATCCTCATCCACATGGTGGCACTTTGTGTCATCGGGTGTTTATCGCTTGTGTGATGTCCTGGTGGGGTAGAAAGTCAGTCATAGCTAAAAAGATTAACTTACGTTTTCTAAAAAATGCGAGGTCTCAAAGCCAACTAATCACAGATATCAGAAGTAGGCAGGCACCATGTTTGGTCATATTATAAGAAGAAGGTAACTTGAACGTGTGACAACCACAGGAAAGATTTGTGGAAAGAGAGACAGAGGAAGACAAAGCGATAAGATTCTTTACATCCTGTTGTCATGACAATGAGGGGTGTCAGCAAATGGACTGATACATGATGTTGGATATCACAAGTTGCAGAGAGTCACAATCGCCTTAGCCAGTCTGCAAGTTTGATGATAGGACAATTATACTAACACTTTTTGTGTTGGTATAATTTTTTTTTTAAGTATCCAGAAACTACCTGGACACTTACTACACAAGCGGAACAGCGCATAAATGCATTTGAATATAAATGTTACAGACAGGTTCTAAGAATATCTTGGGTAAAGAAAAGAACAAATGCATCCATACTTCAAGAGCTGAATATTGAAGAGGGTTGGCTAGTAAAGACAATAAAACAAAGAAAATTGAAATATTTTGGTCACTTGAAACGTCATGGAGGTCTAGAGAGAACAATAATGGAGGGGTATATGCCTGGGAAGAGAAGAAGAGGAAGGCCAAGGAGAAGATGGGTGCAGGATGTGGCAGATGATCTCCAGATGGGTGTATCAGACGCAGGACATCTTGCTCATGATAGGAAGGTTTTCCGGAGGGTTGTTATGGCAGCGAGGTTCCGCGAGGGACATGCTACTGAATGAATGAATGAATCCAGAAACTACGAGTCTTTAACCCTTTGGCTCCGTACTATGAATATCGCAACCCTTCGGACTTGATCCAATGATAGATACCGTAAATCTAGGAGAAATGTTGCTTTTCTGCCTATATAAATAGAATGATTTTTTTGATAATAGCTACTGTCTGATTTAAAATGGTAGATCCTGTGCATCAATGTACGTATGTGGGAGCTTGAGCAGGTGTGAGTGCGTAGTGTGCGCGACAGACAAACCGGCCCCGGCTGCTGCAAAAGTCTGGCAGCAGACGACAAGTATGGAAGCCGCTGAGAACTTCAAACTGTAAGTGTTTGTGTCCACTTTCCTTGCCCTAGTGCGTCTTCTGCCGTTACTCTTAATGTCAAAAATAGTATTATTAATGTACAAAAGGCAGCAGCCAGTCCGAGCATGCTGATATCTGCCTATCAGATATACTTTTTCGTTCGGTTTTATATCTTTTCTTGAAATCTCTAGCGTTTGTGTTGTGTCTCCTGCAAGCCAAGTGATTTGAAGTTGCCACTTTCTCTATTTCTCTATTGTATTGTTGTGTCCTCGGGCTTTTTTAGTCAGTATCTCCTTGTCTTGACCCGACCCCTCACCATTTATAAATAGACCCTTTTTAGGCCAGAAGTCTGAACGATTCCTTACCTCCCATGGATAGACCCTTTCAGGCCAGAAGTCTGAACGATTCCTTATCTCCCATGGATAGACCCTTTCAGGCCAGAAAACTGAACGATTCCTTGTCTCCCATGGATAGACCTTTTTCAGGCCAGAAGTCTGACCGATCCCTTACCTCCCATGGATAGACCCTTTTTAGGCCAGAAGTCTGAACGATCCCTTACCTCCCATGGATAGACCCTTTCAGGCCAGAAGTCTGACCGATCCCTTATCTTCCATGGATAGACCCTTTCAGGCCAGAAGTCTGAACGATCCCTTACCTCCCATGGATAGACCCTTTCAGGCCAGAAGTCTGACCGATCCCTTATCTTCCATGGATAGACCCTTTCAGGCCAGAAGTCTGAACGATCCCTTACCTCGCATGGATAGACCCTTTCAGGCCAGAAGTCTGACCGATCCCTTATCTTCCATGGATAGACCCTTTCAGGCCAGAAGTCTGAACGATTCCTTATCTCCCATGGATAGACCCTTTCAGGCCAGAAGTCTGAACGATTCCTTATCTCCCATGGATAGACCCTTTCAGGCCAGAAGTCTGAACGATTCCTTATCTCCCATGGATAGACCCTTTCAGGCCAGAAGTCTGACCGATCCCTTACCTCCCATGGATAGACCCTTTCAGGCCAGAAGTCTGAACGATTCCTTGTCTCCCATGGATAGACCCTTTCAGGCCAGAAGTCTGAACGATTCCTTATCTCCCATGGATAAACCCTTTCAGGCCAGAAGTCTGAACGATTCCTTATCTCCCATGGATAGACCCTTTCAGGCCAGAAGTCTGACCGATCCCTTATCTCCCATGGATAGACCCTTTCAGGCCAGAAGTCTGAACGATCCCTTATCTCCCATGGATAGACCCTTTCAGGCCAGAAGTCTGACCGATCCCTTATCTCCCATGGATAGACCCTTTCAGGCCAGAAGTCTGAACGATCCCTTATCTCCCATGGATAGACCCTTTCAGGCCAGAAGTCTGAACGATCCCTTATCTCCCATGGATAGACCCTTTTCAGGCCAGAAATCTGACCCGACCCCTCATCAGCCTCATCACCCATGGATATATCCTATCCACCCATGGATAGGCCATTAGTCTGCGTACGGACTGCGCAACCTGTATTCTGTCTCTTCCTTCCTCCTCTAATCTCCACCCGTGAAATGTATCATGTTGCCTTTGATTTTACATGATACATTTTAAATGTGAGACTTTGCGAGGGGAAAAAGGGCGGGGGGGATTCTTCAACCTGATGAATAAAAGGTGAGAGAGTACCTTTTGTGGTTTAACCTGATAAATCGAACATGAGAGATACACTTTTTGGTTTAACCTGATAAATCAACTATGAAAGATGTACCTTTTTCGTTTAACCTGATAAATGGAATATGAGAGATGTACCTTTTTGGTTTAACCTGATGAATCTAACGCAAGAGTAGTATTTTTTGCTTTAACATAATAAATCAAACATGAGAGATGTACCTTTTTTATTTTAACATTATAATTCAAACATGAGAAAAATACTTTTTTTTGTGGCTTAACCAGTGAATCAAACATGAGAGATGTACCTTTTTGGATTGTTTAACATGATAAATCGAATGTAAAAGATGTACTTGTTTGGTTTAACCTGATGAATAAAAAATGAGGGATGTACCTTTTTTTTGGATTAACCTGATGAATCAAACATCAGTATGTAGTTTTTTTGTTTAACCTAAAGAATTGAACATGAAAGAAGTACTTTTTTGGTTTAACCTGATGAATCAAACCTGAGAGATGTACATTTTTTTGTTTAACCTGATAAATTGAACATCAGAGATGTAACTTTTTTGTTTTACATGATGAATGGACCATGAGAGATGTACCTTTTTGGTTTAACATGATAAATTATGAGTTTGTGTGTTTAACATGATAAATCAAATAGGAGAGATGTACCTTTTGTGGTTGAACATGATGAATCAAACATGAGAGAAATACCTTTTTTTGGCTTAACCTGATGAATCTAACATGAGAGATGTACCTTTTTATATTTTTTTTGTTTAATATGATAAATCAGATATGAAAGATGTACCTTTTTGATTCAACCTTATGAATCGAAAGTGAGAGATGTACCTTTTTTTTTTTTTAGGTTTAACCTGATGAATCAAACATCAGTGATGTAGCTTTTTTTGTTTAGCCTAAAGAATTGAACATGAAAAATGTACCTTTTTGGTTTAACCTGATGAATCAAATGTGAGAGATGTACCTTTTTTTGTTTAACCTGATGAATCGAACTTGAGAGATGTACCTTCGTTTGTTTAGCCTGATGAATTGAACATGAGAGTTGTTCCTTTTTGTTTAACCTTATGAATCGAACATCAGAGATGTAACTATTTTGTTTAACATGATGAACTGACAGATATACCTTTTTTGGTTTAACCTGATGAATCATACATGAGTTTGTGTGTTTGACATGATAAATCAAATAGGAGAGATGTACCTTTTGTGGTTGAACATAATCAATTGAACATGAGAGATGTGCCTTTTTTGGTTTAACCTGACGAATTGAACATGAGATGTACCATTTTTGGTTTAACATCATGAAATGAACATGAGAAATGTACTGTTTTTAGTTTGACATGATGAATCTAACATTAGAGATGTACCTTTTTTTGGGTTCAATATCATAAATCAAACATGAGAGATGTACCTTTTTTGGTTTAACATCTTGAATGTAACATGAATTAGATGTAAACTCATTGTCATTGCAGCTAATCTGTGAAATATGGCATTTTTGGGTTTAACATGATGAAGCTAACATATGTTAAACATGAGTCGAACAGTATCAAAGTAAAACACAGACATATATATCTGGCTTATGTCAACTACAAACATGCACACATGAGACAAGACACCATTGGTTGGTTTCATTGTTTTTTATGTCAAACTATCCACGATTTGCCTTTTCCTCATGGTTTTAGGATGTGACATTAAAACACCTGCAAAATTCAATAATAGCCCAGTATGCGTTTCTTCTCTGACAGTGATATCCTCAACCTTCCTTAAAGCCGTCTCTACTTTCTCCGCCATCTCATTTTATTGTAACACGGTCTCTGTTTCATCCCTGTATCCTTATCACACGGTTTCTTCTCTGTTTCCTCACCTGTCTGATTACTCATTGTTCTGTTTCCTCACCTGTCTCATTACTCATTGTTCAGGGTTTACATCCATGACTCTAGCTCTCCACAAAATCTCAGTGGTGCTTTCTGATTGAGTTTCCACTCACAAGTGAGATTTCATCTTCCAGTTCGTGGTCACAAAATCAAAGTACTTGATTAAATCATCATATAATCCTTTACCCACATGTTTATCTTTAGTATCATCTAAGATTGGCAGACAGTCATCTTCACCAAAGATAATTTTGGCCAGAAGAGTGCAGTAGTTGGCTGTGAAGCCCCAGATGTTAGCTGTGAGAGCCCCGTTAGAGAAGGTGATTGATCGAGAAACAATGGATAAGCCTCTGATATTGTGTGTATGATAGGAGACCTTCTCTTCTGTGATAAAGTCCTTGAGTGGCATGTAGAAAGCAAACTCCACCTCCGACGGGTTCACAAATGGCACAAAATCATTGGGAATCAGGCCCACCACTGGGTACACAACTGTATTGGGTAATGTTATCCCTCGGGTTAGGACACCCAAAACTTGAACACAATGTTGAGGCAACCCAATCTCTTCCTCTGCTTCTCGTAATGCTGTTGCAATGTCTGAAGAATCTGTGTGGTCGCGCATGCCGCCAGGAAACACTGTGGCTGACGGGTGTGACCGCAAATCTTTGGATCGTTTGGTCAGCAAGATGACCACTTCTCCATGATGGACAGCAATTGGTAATAAAATGGCAGCTCGCCGAAAGCCTTCTTTGGTCTCTGGGTAAGGCCCCCAGTTTCTGATGTCATAAGCAGCAACTCTGTTGACAATGTTTGAGATGAGAGAAGCTTCGTCCATGTTTGTCACTGCCATTGTCTACTGCACACAGAGCTGGTCACTTTCTGAAACCCAGATGACAAGGAAACAAAAAATGTTATACTGATGCTTATTTAGGAGAATTTTTAGAAACAGATACAAATCCATAACATAGACATCTAATCAATACAGCAGACTTGGCACATGAAAGAAATCACTCGGTCATCATCATCCTCTGCCATGCAATTAGGCAGTCACCAGAATCACGGATCAGCTCAGTGTTTTTTGTCTGGCCCCATTCTTGCTGCCACTCCATTCAGGTACTTATCTCTTTGTCTTCCTCTTGTTCTTTTTCTGTCAGTCTTCCCAGTTGTTACCAAGTTCTCAAGTCCATTTCATCTCATAACATGTCCTAGTGAGACCTGAAGGAAGAACTGACTAGTGTACAGTAGTCCTCTCTTTCATTTGACACTGTGATGAACCTTCCACACAGCACACATAAACATCAAGCACTTGTAGTTCTGTCTTTTATTTCTGTGTCTCTTTAAATGGCCAAAGTAAGTACAATATCTGATGATGTTCTCATTGGGACCAGATTTCTTTCACTCCAGTTGTTCTGATTTGTCTGTGGGTTTTCTTCTCTTGTTGTGATCTTATCTTAGCTCTCTTCTCAACCTCGGCCACCAACATTCCTGTTGTGTTCTCAAGTATCATGATGTTAAACTAAAATCATTTCTCTTCTCAACCTCCGCCAACAACACTCCTGATGTCGTGTTGCATTCCAGTTGACCCTCTCTCCTAAAATACCCATTGTATACGGACTGACATATTTTGATGCGGGTATAAATCTATCCTTTTAATTACAAATGCCCTTTAATTTATGACACATTATCACGTATCCACTAAACTATAATAATAATAATATAATAATATGAAAATGCGCCGGGTGTCCCCGCGTTTGACCCCTGACCTGGACACAATACAAGTACAAGTAAGTAGGGCACTTATTTGTTTACAGCTTGGTTGTTAGTTTCTAAACCAACAACAACGGATCGCAGTTGTTACTTATCGACGGCACTCACCAGCTGTACATAAAGGGACAACGGTCAGACAGCCCCAACACTAAGATGTCTCCAGGTATCCGAGTGGGGGTCTAAAGTTCAGCTTGTGCTTGCTTGGCCTCACTCAGGTAGGAGGTGCTGGTGGTATCCTTGTTTTCACATCTGTATTCTGTACGTTTGGTTGGGTCACATGACGTTAATGGTCACATGACTCCCCATCATCGTGTGCCGCGTCGGTAAACGCAGCCCCGTCATGGTTAGCTATGTAATACATCCATCACATTATGAATTATGCTTGTGAAGCCGTCTATGGTTTCATTTCTTTGTCTTTATTTGCTGTTTCCCCAGTAAGTTTGCTTGTGATATCCCCCACCCCATAATTATCAATTTATTACGACCTGCAAGCTCAGTGAATGTTACAATCCGTGTCTATGGGGGATGCAACCTGCGAGCACCATGCTGAAAGAGAAGCATGCTACCGCTGCCGCCATACATCGTGCAGCACCACCGGTCAAAATAGGCGCTAGGCACGGTCACTGTTTAGAGTCGTTGCCCTAGCATTTTTGCTCCATTTGTAGACTGAAAGAGTATAGTTTCGTCGCCCAGCTTCTGAGTTGAGTGCATGGCGTGACACTGTGAGCTGCGGATTTTATTTGGAATGTTTTTTTTGTGTGTGGCTGTGACCAACGTGGTGGTGTGAATTGTAGATTCACAAAATGGCGCGATGCCTGTTGTCGCAAAATCGGTGGCTACCTTATGCTTTTAATGCGCGTGTATGCTAGTGCATATGCTGAGACAGCAGTCTGTCAATCTCTCCACAAGGGACTGTAATTAACAATCTGTGTGCTTTTCGTTGGCACAGGAGCGGAGCAACTATGGGATGGTCCGTTTGCTATGAAGCTCAAACTAAGATTACCAGATTAGCATCATCTACCCGTTCATGATGTGTCTCCCCTCGCCGAGAATAGGCTATTTTTGTCAACAGGGAAACCCTGGGATTCCAGTTTTAGTCCTTCAGTTTGTAACACTTTTACCCATTGGTCGATTTCCCCCAGGTCGCATTATTGTGACTAATGACGTGGCCTGTAACAACATTTGGCTCGTCTTAGAGAGGGAGAGCACTATTATATATTCATGAGCTACAGGGAAGCTTCTACAGCCTTCAAGAAGGTTGTTGTTTGACTGAAATGTGAGAGCAGTTATTGTGGGGATGTGGTCACGTTGTATAAACTTATTGCTGTCTTCATGTAAATGTGTGCACTTGTGACGGCGGCTGATTTGTCCGGGCAAGAGAATTATTATTTTGTGGAGAAACTGGGGGATATTTTTGTATCAAGATGGCGGATACAGCAGACAGTGGACGAGGGTTGTCAACATGAATGTTTCAGGTGGTGACCACCCGTTTACTTGTGGATATCGCTTGATTCCCCTCAGCTACAGACATCTGTAGAACCAGCGTTCTTTCTGTTATATATTTGCTGTTGATACCGTGTTATTCAATACATCGATTTACTTGAGAAACGAACCTTCAATAGTCACCAGTTAGCCACTTGGACAGTATACTATATCATATCATTTAGGAAATGTATCTATCATTTACAGTTTTGAAAAGACGCATATAAAAACAAAAATCACTTTTGGCAGGTTTGTTGTTCAGATCTGTGCCCATCTATAGTGGTCAGACAGTAACAGTCCACTCAGTGGTCAGCTACTTGAGTGAGAGCAGTCAGGAGTTTGCCTAGGACTGGTGATGATAACTTCCTGGCACTGACTATGTCATTGCTAGTGTAGCATGCTGACTGGAACCAGGTAAGCTACAGTGTTTTAGTTAAAACTTTCTGACAGTTGATTTCATGATCACATCACAGTTCCTGGATAGGTGATGTGAAGTGTAGCCCATACAACTGTGGGCTCTCCTCCGAACTTCGTCTCCATATTATGGCGGCCAAGCAAATACCTTAACAGGGCCTCAGTTGTGTGTAAAATGTGGACTTCCTCTGACGAACACATTGCGGCAAAACTAGGATTACTGTCCGTTGACAATTTCGAGAAACGCAGCAATACTTACTTACTTACTTACTTAGTCGCTCCTCTTCTACCTTGGGGTGTAGAGGTTTGCCAGAGAGATCGCCAGACGTCTCTATCAGTAGTTTTCTTTCTGGCTTTGTTCCATTCCAGTCCTCTGTCAGTCAGGGACTGTCGGATGTTGTCTTCCCAGCGCACCCTGGGTCGTCCTGGAGGTCTGGTTCCCTGGTTCTTAGCCTCCCATGCTTGCCATGGTGGCCGATTTTCTCCCATTCTGCACACATGTCCAAACCATCGTAACTGTGACTGATCCACTCGGGTTAGTAAGGGCTGGGTATCAAGATCTTGACGTATTGTCTGATTGCGGACTTTGTCCCTTCTTGTCACTTGGACCACCTTTCTCAGGTATCTCATTTCCGAGGCCTGCAGCTGGCTTCAGTGAGCTGTTGTCATTGCCCATGACTCACACCCATAGGTCAGGACTGGTACATAGGTAGAGCGGTAAACAGCCATTTTCGTCCTCTTGCCAATTTCTCTTTTGCTAAGAAACCCTCGGTTTATGGCCTGGAAGAGTCTCCCAGCAGCTGCTTTTCGTGTAGCCAGCTCAGTCTCCATTTTGGTCTAGTACAACTCCAAGGTACTTGAACTGGTTAACCTGCTCCAACGCATACTGTCCCATCATGATCTGGTGTTTCTTCTCCTCTCTTGAGATCACCATGGTTTTAGTTTTGGAGACACTGATGGTCATCCCTTTCTTTTCAAGCTCTTCCTTCCAGACAAGTAAGTTGGACTGAAGGTGTGCCTCTGATTTAGCTATCAGGGCCACATCGTCTGCAAAAGCCAGCTCTGATATACAGATTGGTCTCATCTTCCAGTACCCTACAGAGTACTTCTTTGTCTTCTCCTTACAGGTCTTGATGACATCATCCATCATAAGAATGAAGAGGTAAGGTGAGAGAATATCACCTTGTCTAACACCGCTGGTGGTCTTAAATTCTTCTGACTTTTGGTCTGCTGTTCTTACATAATTTCTGCACTTTTTGTAGAAACTCTGTATTGCACTGGAAACGCAGCAATACACACTATAATAGCGACATGGCGTGGAGACCATGTGCTCCGACACAGGTTAGCTATAGTGTTCTTCCGATTAAACTCACTGCCGAGAATATCCCCCGTGCGATTGGGGGGCTAAACTAGATGGCTGGGACTCACGAGCAGCAGCTACCGCATCTGCTGCAACTTCCTCCAATTTATTTGCTCGTGAGTCCCAGCCATCTAGTTTAGCCCCCCATTAAAGCCACAGAAACATGTCCACAATTAACATATCGCTGAGACCCTGTTAGAGTATTTGTTTGCCCTCTATAATATTGGCCCTTTTTTTTTTGGAGGCGATCCTAGTTTTGCCGCGATTTGTTCCTTGGCAGGCACTCCGCATTTTACACATGACTGAGGGTATATGTTTGGCCGACATAATATTGGGACGAAGTTCGAAGGAGAGCCCAGATGTGGTATCCACTGCAGCAGCAAAGTTAACGGACACTGCTACTCATGTTTTGTTGTGCACCTTGATTACCGTTAGCAATATAATATAATCGTACCAGGACTCTTCAGCTTGTGGCAACCAAACGCCTAGCAAGTGGTCCACAGATCATCTGCCAACTGTACTGTATACATGATCTTTCTATGCTGGCCTAGGACGATCCAACATTTGTGGCCCTAAGTAAACTTAGTTGAATTGCTTTGTTTTGTAGAAATAACATCACCACCACTAGCATCACAAGAAAATGATCTTGCTATGGATGAACGTCATATATATATATATCTGTGTGTGGTAACTGTCTCTGTGAAAACTTTAGTTCTACACTGTGTATATATGTCTGTCAGTGGTGACTGTCTATATGAAAACTTTAGTTCTACACTGTATATATATATATATATGTCTGTGTGTGGTGACTGTCTCTGTGAATACTT